TTGTCCAAGCTAGAATCTTGAAAGGAAATTCACAAAATAAAAACCCCATTAAGAAATGGGAAGGAAAGACTGCAGATTAAGATTGCTAACCTAGAGAGAGAAACTGAAGCATACCTTTCAAAAAAATAAAATAAAAAATTAGGGCTTCGAATACAAAGATGAATCCCAAGAAGGGGAAACGCCGAAACGGAAAGTTGGGATTTTTAAGGGAAGTGATTCGAAGATGAAACGTCTGGAAGGACTATTGAGGGCTTTGACTCTTTTTAGCTTCGCAGGTGATGACGATGATGATGATGATGCCTCTGTTGCTTCCTGTACAGGACGGGGTAAGGGGGCGATCTGGTTATTTAAAAAATTAATTTCTTTTCCCTGTTAAATTTTATTTTCCTTTTGTACCCCTACAACTTTTCTAAATTTTCTGGGGTTTACTCGAGATGAGGAAAATAGAATGAGGGTAAAATGGGGAAATAAGTGGATGGCATGATTAAGTTGAGCTGATTTATATGTATGCCATAAAGTCAGTTTATTTGTGCTGTGATTGTATTTGATATATTATTTATTTTGTTTTCTGGGTTTTTGTTTTTGGGCTAAGATTCGCTCGAATTAAAATTACAGTTGCTGGCCCAAAAAAATATTACTGGATCTTTTTGGGGTCAAAAAGGATTACTGGACGGTTACAGGCCCAAATAAAATATTACTGGACTGAACCGTTTGCGGGGATGGGTCTGCTCCGCGTTAACCCCGGCCCATACCGTGAAGGTCAAACGTTTTTCTTATAACAAAAAGATTGAATAGAAAGAAATTGATTCTCGAATTCAAATTTTGTAAATCAAAATATGTGATAGGTATATCTGAAGACTATCCTTTTCCCAAACATTTTTGTCGAAAATTTTCATTAGAAAATCAATACTTGCTTACGTTGAACAAGTTCTCTATGTTTTATACTTCAGTTGGTTCAAGGGATGTAATGTAAGGAAGGAAATTGACCACCTAAAATTTGAAACTTGAACATAACCTGTATAAAAAAATGTCTGAAAGAAGCCTGTCTCTAAATTTTAAATATTTACTGTGATCTAAATGAATTTTCTTCCTATGCAAGAGGCTTGTAGGAGATTACAATCTACTGGAAGGTAGGAGCTGCGACAAACTCTGCACGTCTGGTTGTAGGGTAAACTGCATGGCTTTGATGGGTGTCGAGATTTTGCTTTTCGGGTATCATTCTTGTAATTTCTTGTATTCGTCTAGTGCCTCTCTTTGGTGCTTTTCTTCTTTTCTCCATATGTTTTTACCTATATTATATAGTAGACCTGATTGTTGGACTTGGAAGTGGGTTTATTGATTCTAGTATTAATTTTAGAATCATTCTTCTTAGAACTTTGAGCTCTCTTTGTTTGAACATTTGGGTTTTAGCCCTTAGCTAAACTTTTAGAAAATCACTTGGAAAGATCCATGTCTATATTTATAGAGTAAATGATGGATGATATCTTTTTGGGATTTTTAATTTCTAATGAAAGAATAGACCGTGTTGTAATTCTGGGAAGAATTTAGAGCTATAGATTAGCTGGATTTGATTCTTATGAAAGAATTGGAAATTCAGGTTACAAATGGACAAAAGGAGATAAGGGATGTTTTTTTATCTCTCCTATTGTATATTCAATCCTAATCAAGTTTCATAACGAGGGATTTGTTTATATGATTAATAATCACAAAAATCAAGAGCGAGGACTAAGGAGAGTAAATTTATATAATTTTCTTGCACCATATATAGGGATATCTTCCGTAGGAATATCATCTGGTTTCACTATGATGGCTTTTACTAGTAAGCAAATATCATTTTATAAATCAGATTTAAGATTTAAATTTTAGAGTTAATACATTTCTTTAAATGTACTAGACTAATGTAAGGGATGTATCTTTAAAATTGTCGGAAAATTAATTAGTTTTGAGATAAACAAAAACTAATTCAAAAACACATTTATTGTAAATAATAAAAAAAAAAAAAGGATGGCTTTGAAAGCAGAGATACATATTGACTCTTCACTAGAACTGTGTAGCCATAGCCTGATCCCTGATGGCTGATGTGCTAACAAAATTTATTCGTTTTGTGTGGTAAGAAGAACAATAGACCTTGCTGAGCTCCATCCCATTTTGTTAGTGAAAATGTCCAAAAAATTTTCAAAATTTCCGTTTATCTTTTCCCATTATTGTAAAATTTGAACTGTGTACTTTAATAAAAAAATGACTATCCTAATTCCAATAGGATTAATGATTATTTTATATGTATTACATTATATCCCCTTTGTGATTTTAACACCTTACTCGTTGATTTTTTAACTATTGATGGATCT